TGGATTTGGGAAATTGACAGAGAGGGTGAAGGACAACGATTTGCTACTCATGATAAAATTCAAAATCGTCGACTTTTGTGGCATGGAACCAATGTTGCTGTTGTTGCTGCAATCTTAAAAAGTGGCCTACGTATTATGCCCCACAGTGGTGGTAGAGTCGGTCAGGGCATTTATTTTGCTTCAGAGAATAGTAAATCTATTGGTTATATAGGGGTAGCTAGAAATATTGGTATTATGTTTTTAGCTGAAGTGGCTTTAGGTAAAGAACACTCTATTACCAGAGATAATAGTTCATTAATTGCTGCTCCTAAAGGCCATGACTCCGTTGTTGCTCGAGGCAAGACAGAACCTGATCCTAAAAAGGATGTTACCATAACAATTGATGGCAAAACCGTTACTGTACCACAAGGAAAACCAATCACTCGATCGCAGTACAATAACAGTTACTTTAGCCAAAGTGAATACTTAGTTTATAAAGAGAGCCAAGTGCGGCTTCGCTATTTAATTAAGATAAAAGTTTAAGGTTTTTACTTGAGTGCTGTAGTCAATCAATATGAAATATCATTTTTATCCTAAGACTGTGAAATAGATCTATTCGATATGAAGCCAAAGTTCTAGAATGTGTATAGACAAATTTAGCTCTATTACTATGCCAATAATCGAATTGTATATTTAGTAGGCAAAAGTTTAAAAGAAATGTCTTCTAGAGCGTATTATACTTATATCAGTATGCTGCCTTTTTAAATAGCTACTTGTACTGAGATTACATCAAATCAGCTAGACACAAATGTTTGTGGTATAGGAATTTTTCTTTACAAATACAGTAAAACAATTTTAAGCTATTTATCGTCCAGTCCAGTCGGTAATGGATAAAATAAAAGGTATAGAATTAATCTTGTGTATGTACACGTGTACAGCAGTATATATAAATATAGATTGTTTGATCTTATACCGATATTGTTATCACTGTCTAATTAGTTAATTACGAGTTTAATTAAATAAACAATATATGTAATCATATTAATCTTGAGGAGTTATTCTATCAAAGATTGGCCAAATTGATTTTCGAATGAATGAAAGTTATACTACTCTTAATGAAATTCCAGCGAACGTCAACAGAAACTGAAAATGAAATATATTGGGTAGAGCGCTGTTATTGTAAATAGAGTAATACTACAGTAAGATATTTCAGTGTATAAAGGATTCTATTTTTTTATGGAATCGTACTGTAACTTTTTTATTTAATATACAATTCCTGTGCAGAACACTACATTGTTTCAAGATCATGTAGGTACAATGGAGTAAGGCTTAAGTTCTAATGTAACTACATGACGATTTTTGGCTACTAAATTCATTACAGGAACGATACTTAATATTTGAAATACATGGCTTAGTAATTATAATTACTTAATTATCGAAAGTTATCTTCCCTGCTATTGATCACTTCACAAAAAATACACTAAATTTTAATAACTACATACATAAGCAAAATGCTAACGCAGCAATGTAACAAACATGATATCTAATATCTGAATTTGATACGAAATGAGCTTTATTGTCCGTAATTATTAATTAGAAAAGGATATTTATTTATTTCTTTTAAATACGCATAGGTGGAAATCAATCGCTTACAACAAAATTAAAAGTTTAACCAATCGTCAGGTTTATATCGCGTTTTATTTTATCATTGCTAAAGCATCAGTTACAAAAGCTAAAGTAACCGAATATTTTAATTTTATTTGTAGCGAGAAACAATCATAATTTTAGATGGCAGTTTATAACTATAACCGTCGTATACACCAGTGATTATTATCCCTAGTCTTTACACTGAAAATTCGTAAAAATAACATAATAGTATGTGCTAAAGGAACAGCATCATGTATTACGATAATAATTACTGAATTATAAATCTTAAATACAGCATTCTACTTAGTATAGCAATAATCTTGTTAACTCTTTTAGAGATATACGTAGCCTACGTTAGTGTACACAGTAAAGTACTATACTGTATTTTGTGAGATAATTTGTATGTGTATAAAGTAGTATTTAGCCGATGTGTGTATTTATCAAACAGCATTAAGTACCCATGTTTCATCTGTATTAAGGTGGCTCACAAGATGATGAAGTTACAATAGGTACAATAATTATGGAGGGATATTCCGTATCCGGAAAGTACAGATGCAAGTATGGAAGGTTGCTTTTCCATAGCAACTTAATATATATCTCGAAAAGATCATTGCAGTCGCTAAAAATTTTATCTTATAAAATGTATTACTGATAAAATTAAGTCTCACCGTCTAATACAAATACAATCCGTAAAATCATATTTAACGATGGTGAAAATGCCCGCTAGAAATTACCTAGGGCAATTCGGTATCAATAAACTTGGCGATCTTCCGTTGTAGTTTGAATATACTCTTAAGAGATTAGGGTATAAAAAACGATACAAACTTATACGTAATGTGACTTTCTACGATGATCAACATGAATTCGTTTTTTTTGATCGGCTTGAGTTCTCTTAAGTAAGGAGTCGAAATCACAGCTAGAGCGCTTCCTTGATTGTCGCACATTTCCACTGCTAGCCACTTGAGAATCAAAGTCTACATATCGTCCTTTGCAGAACTGTCTCCGTCCACCAAAACAAATATCAAATTGTGAAAGTCCCTTTTCCTTACCACCTGCGTCATGTGAACAAGATATTTAGATATTTAGTGAACAGCTTGACTTCGAAGTAAATACAGTATAGCCAAACAATTTCCTAAAGTAATAAAACCTTGAATTGCACTTAAAGCACTTTCTGTAGAATCATAAGTTATAAAGGCAAAAATTTGCTTGTTGTCGGATCGCCTAATTTTGATGGAGTCAATTTTCCCAAAACGATTAAACAGGATTTTTAGGCTATCTTCCGTAGTATCCATGGGTAAATTGCCGACATAAACAATGTTACGACTAGTGTCACTTTTAGGTCTCTGTAATAGATCGCGGGAATTACTTATAAACGAAAAACACAAGCGTACCAAAAAAAGTCCAGACGTTCAATAACATACCTTGGGAGATCTATGAGGGCTGCTATCGTAATTATCGCTATCACCAAAGGATTCAGATCTAGAAGAAGTATTCGAAGCTTTCCTCTTTTTCTCGTCTAGAGGTGATTTGTCTATATTTTAGTAATACTTACTATCATATGAAAAGTAATTTATTTCTGTCCAACTAACAGGGTACAGGCGTATATATACACTTATCCAACAACTATTTACTACTAAAATGTTTACTTTATTATCGAAGTGACGAGTTCCAAAAGACTGATTCTACGTACATGTTTATCACTTACAGTAAATTGAAGTGGTGAGTAATCAATAACGATGTGCTAATTAAAAGCATACATACAAGATAAAGTCGAAAACGGTGAAGAGCCACCAAAAGATCGACTTGGACATTTATCTGTTCTTGCAGCTACTGTGTTTTCTTCCCTGTTTTGATAAAATATAGACGATATTCGTATACTTATGACGTTCAGTAATTGAATTAAGGATTACATAAACCACTCAGAAAAATCAACGTTTAGTTCTCATTCTTTACAGATGAGTACAAATAGTAGTGCACATCAAATGCTTTTTATTAATCTAAGGGCAATTTATTTTCTGCAATGTTACAATCATATTGATAAACTACTATGGTTTATTGAATCTAATTTTATGCTCTTTCTTAATATGTATTTGACAGTTATGCTACTTGTCTACAGCATACATTGTATTCTTGGCTTTAGCTTCTGGTCTTTCTTTTTCTAGGCTGTTGCTTTCGCTGAGCTTATTTTCTTTAGTAGATGGACCTAGGTGAGATAGGATTCGATGCGCTGTTATAATAGTTTAGTGAACGTAAGAATTATCTGTTTGCTACTGTAGCATGTTTCTTGTAACGAAACAATGACAGACATCCATCCATAATCAGCCGGATCGTTAATTATATATAGCTATGCTTCAATATGCGGTAACATTTAAAGCTGAAGATTTGCTAAGCTATACACGTTATGCGTAAGGTATTTATAGTCCTAGTAGCGTTATTAATTTTTTACCATTTGGCTTTGATGTTTCCGTGGCTTGAAAAAATCCGTCCAGAGAAGCATGTAATGATTCAGCTGACTTTGAAGTGGGTGAACTTGGTACTAAATGAAAATAAAATATACGTTCTTAGAGCATTAAAAATGCCAATCTTGATTAACGCAATAAACGTATCACCATAGAGTAAGTAATAGAATCAAACAACTTGGAGCTATGTACATCCAGTCCTTTTTATGATTTTATACCGTTCATAGCTTATAGTTTACGGGTAAGTGAAAATTTATAACAGAGGTACTTGGAAAATTACCGTCCGATTGCCTTTTCTCAAGGTGAAAGTGATTTATAAGTGCAAAAATGAAAAACATAGCATGATAACACCGAATTGCTAGTAAACTCGAAGGATACTTGACAATTGCTTTTCCTTCAATGGATGAGTACTATTGCTGGAGAGTAGCGAAAAGTATTACTGATTAGTATGTAAGTGCTGTTTTTAATTGAAATTTAATAACAGCTAGTGATGGAATGACAAGAGTTTCCGTGTCGTAAGGTAACTTACAAGAAGACAGTTTCTCCTTTATTTTTGAAGCAATTATGATTTCATTCTGTAGAGGGGTAACTGAGAAAGTGTACGTCCACATATACAAGGTGCTGATGGTACCCTTAATGACAGCATTTGTAATGGAATGACTGTAACTGTAAATAATATTTTAATTTACAGAATTACAAAGTATTTAGCTATCGCTTGGAAATGTCAGTACTGCAGAACATTAGTCATTATGCAAGATTGAAATAATTTTGAACTATCCAAAGAAGTTAATTTATCATTAGACAGGTGGATGATAATTCCATCAGCACATCCTTTGCCATTTCGATCTGCATTTGACTGGAAATGCTTAAAACAGTTGTACATTGCCAACTGTACTCAATTTATTCTCGAATATGAATAACATAGAAACAAATAATGTATTCTAGTGACATATACGCATTCATCAGTATTTGTACATAATACGCTGGCATAAGATACTGGAATAACGTCAGTAGGACAAAAGTTACGACGAAAAGATGTACGCTTATGGCAGACTTTCAAGCCTATCATTCACAGTTTGTTCTTGCAAGCTATCTACCGTGTCGTTCATGAATAAAATGAATTTTTATCACTACATTTACTATATCTGTCTCCATCGTAGATTTGAGGCTTAAAAGAGGTGCATCGTTGCGGGGTAACTTTAATAATTAGGGATTGATTATTTCTACTTTATGAAATTGCCATCTTACTGTAAGTATATGTCTAGCTGGCAACATTAAAACTTGTAGTCAAGCCAATATTGGCAACAACATTTACCGACAGTAGATATTGCGTTTCAATTTCTCATCTAATTCGGATTCAGTATTGCTTTACAGTAAATTCTACTCGTATTGGCAATGATAACCGATTGCAAGTTCTCCAAGTAAAAGAAAGTGAACAACAGAATCGATAGAGCAATGATAGTCTAAATCGCAATTTTGACATTTCGATGATATTCCAGAAATGTCATCATCGGTGCATGCCACATGTAGCGATTATATGCTGTATATACAGTATTAATTATCCGTTATCGTCACGTAGGATCTATTTGGATAGATAAGTCAATACAGTCATTAATTTGCTATTAATCAGGGTAGAGTTGAAAAATGATATTAATGCAAAAGTGATTACGACAGTATTTAGCGAAGAGCACCTCGTGATGAAGTACGGGATTCATTCAGTGTACGGCAAGCTAGATCAAAGAGCTATGCACCGGTGTCCTAGACTACTAGACTGCTGGCACAATTAAATTGATCCAATATGTCCAAATAAGTAAGAGCAGTGCGTCGACGAGGGTGGCTCCATTAGCGTTTTGATCACTCAGGTCTACTTTGATGATAGCCTAGTAAAGTATCGTCGATATTCTGGAGGGGAGAAATACAACATTGCTTTTCTGCAGAAACTACTAAAAGTGATAGAAGATATTATTGCTCTTTTCGTCCACACCATGATCGTAGCGTTAGGCAGTAAGCTATGCCTAAAATAACAGTATGATAAGTGATGGACCTTTAACAGTCTAGCATATGCCTATCGATACTGTTTAAATCAGTCTAAAATGTTCAAATGAGAGCGTCTTGTGCTTTATACGAAAGCAGTTGGTACTTTATTGGCAGTACCCGGTGATGTGCATACATGACAAGAGTACGTATTTTATAACAGTAGTATGCCATGAAGAAACGATACGATAGTGGTCTTATAACTCATCCATAGTGGATCCCCACGTAGTGACAAGATTAAAATCGACCTAAAACGTCGAAATGATAACAGCTTGCTAAATCTTAGCTGTAATTCAATCGTTGAAAAGTAAACCTAGTGCACCGTGGTACTGCAATACTAAGAGTACCGTAGTTAAGCGACATGAATTAAGGCAATTACTTGTATGCAGCAATTTTTTTCTTTCGTTCTTTAATAGGGATACAGAAAGGAAAATAAATGTACCTGATGCTAATTTTTCAAATTCCTGATATTGCTGTAGGAAAGAGTGGATATCCTCCGCAACGATACCATTGTCAAATTGATCCATTGGCAATGTTAAATTTTGCGATTGATTTTGCTTGTCGTGTTGTAGGTTGGTGATCGGTTGATTGGCTACATAACTATGCTCATGATGGACATAATCGAAAGGATGAAAATTATGGAGTACACCGGTTACAAGTTGCTTTTTGGATTGATTACCCTGTTGATCATTTTGACAAGTTGTGTCAATGTTGTCAACACTTGGATGGCATTGCGAATTTATGGGTGAAGACGAGCATTCTTGGCTTGCAGGTGGTTGATGGCGATCGCCATGGCTAGCTTGATGAACGTCCCTTACCATGGTTGGCAACACCTTGGTTTCGATTTTTGCTCTTTTGTCGTAATTTCGATACAACTGTTGTATTCACTATCAAAATTGAACTTTCTTATAGTGTTCTAACTCGATTGGATAGCATAAAGTAGCTCAAAATGCCAGCTAAAAAGCTGCAAGAAATGAGCTAAAATGCAGCCGGACAATAACAACAACTTTCGAGCTTGAACGTGGGGGTTGGGAAAGATGAGTTTCCCTTGGTGGAGATTGCGCTTGACACTTTTGTGATTGACTCTAGTACTGACTGACCCGTACTGGCACGGACTACTGGAAGCGTACTTGGACAGCGGACACTGGACACGCCTTTGGGCGGACAGACATCTGGCCAGATTTGGTCAAGACTTGATTTTTTCGAAATGAAGTAATACTAACTGCATTGCATTCCATCGCCTGTTGCTAAGCTCTGCTTGAAAGCACTAGCTTTAGATCATCCATGTTATTCAAATGAATACGAGTGATTTACGTGTAGAAAACAGAAAATAGACAAGGAAGACCCAGAACTGAGTAAGTATTTTTCGACATTTTTTTCGGCCTTATCCTGGTATGACAAGTCCCTAGTGGGACTACTAGTACAGTAGAAGAAGACCTACTGTATGTACTGTACATTGTACACTGTACAGTAGACTGATTAATCTTGGATGGACAGACACTGTTGACCTCATCTCGTCAAAATAGTGTGCCAAACACCTTGTTATGACACTACTCAAGTATGGAGACGATCGATTTTAAATGGACTGATTTTTTTTCTAAATTAACTTACTGATCGGATGATGTCATTGCAATATGGACTACTACAGACTACAGTACAGTACATTACTCCTTGAATAATCGCATGAAATTTGAGGTACAGACTCCTAGAATAATGTATCACCGTTTAAACTATTTACGCTGGGTATCTGAGTAGTGAGTAATCGGGGTTATTACGGCCGGGGCCTACAGTACATTGAGTACAACACTCTCTCTCAGACAGACGGACTTTCTTCCCAAATCAAGCCATCAATATGGAAAAATGGGTCACTTAGTAGGGGGTTTCCGTGTCTGTTTTCTGAATCACTGGCACTAATTTAATGAATCAAAATAAACGTTGTCAAAGTCGCAGTACTATGTCTTTCTACTTATAGTAGACGAGAGATAGTTATTTTAGATCGAGAGAGATGCTGCTACGCAGAGATACGCAAAGACACCTACTGCATACTGTACTGTATAATGTACATGTACATTATACATACAGGGTATGTAATCGATTGTAGCCTAGTAAGGTTCGAGCTGTATTCTGTTCTTGTTTCGGTTCTGCATGTCTGTACGCATTATCATTATCATCATGAATGTATAATCTATACTGTACCTAGTGTACATGATTTGTAGATCAATGGGCAACGATATTATACATTCGATGCAATGTTACCGTCAACTGATGTAAAATGGATCGCAATAACCTATGAAAGAAAACAGATCATATTCAAAAAGGGAATAGACTCCAATTTGCACAAGTCGGGACTCACTACAAAATACGATACTCCAATAATGCGGACCAGACAGCTTCGACCAGCCACGCCGCTGAGCTCTATTTAAAGTCCATCAATGAGGACTGAACAGCAACTTGTTCAGACTACGGACGACAGGACAACATCCTACAGTGTACAGTACTGGTTCCAATTTTGGCAGTACAGTACAGTACTGTACTGTACAGTACTGTAGGCTATCCCCTGTGGCTGGTCATTACTACAGTACATTGTACTGTAATGCACCGTACTTTGTGACGTCGCTGTCAAGGCCCAATGAAATACGTGTGGATCGTGTTTGAAGAAGAAGAAGAAGAAGAAGATTAATCGCCCCCCAAAATGAGTTGTACTCTTATGTCCAGTTCATGATACAGTAGGATCCACTTTGATGTCCATATGGCAAGGAAAATTTTAAAGTTATCTTTTATGCAACTTACTGTGCAAAATCTGAGAATCCTATTTCTCGGGATTAAGCCTACAAAATGGATAAATGAAGCCGATCAAGGCCCCGGATGAGGCATTATACACACTGTCTCAGCATAGGTGGCTTTATACTTGACACTTGCAGTCTTGAAAATGGACATTCAATTAAAAGTGCAGACTACAAGGGTAATGTATTGTCGTTGAACTTAGACTAGAAGAGTGAGGTATCATCGCTAAACTTAATTCATTTATTCATGCATTAACTAATTCAAGAATGTTTGATTCAAAATTAATGAATTCATTGTCCATGTCATCAATTCATCCATAGGCCATTTCGTCGTCCATGTTTTATTCAAATGCCCATGGACCACTATGGACTAAAAGGTCTCCTTTGGGGACGACAAGTGCAACTGGTGCTTGGCTGGCAAGCTGGTAAACACCCCCTCCTGCGACCGTGCCGTCTGTACGTCTGTACGTATACACCCCATTCAGGTCTAAGCCCAAGTCTAAAGTCAGCAGTGCTCAGGCGACCGACTGTAGAAGCAACAACTCCGACTCCTGGTCCAATTGCCCAGCAAAAGTTGCCTTGATTGCCTCCATGTCTCTTCGATTTTTCAACATTTTCCGGGCTTGGATCGCTAAAAGGTCTCCTTTGGGGACGACAAGTGCAACTGGTGCTTGGCTGGCAAGCTGGTAAACACCCCCTCCTGCGACCGTGCCGTCTGTACGTCTGTACGTATACACCCCATTCAGGTCTAAGCCCAAGTCTAAAGTCAGCAGTGCTCAGGCGACCGACTGTAGAAGCAACAACTCCGACTCCTGGTCCAATTGCCCAGCAAAAGTTGCCTTGATTGCCTCCATGTCTCTTTGATTTTTCAACATTTTCCAGGCTTGGATCGCTAAAAGGTCTCCTTTGGGGACGACAAGTGCAACTGGTGCTTGGCTGGCAAACTGGTAAACACCCCCTCCTGCTACCATACCGTCTGTACATCTGTACGTATACACCCCAATATACCCCAAGTCTAAAGTCAGCCGTGCTCACAGGCGACCGACAGTACAAGCAACAACTCCGACTCCTGGTCTAATTGCCCAGCAAAAGTTGCCTTGATTGCCTCCATGTCTCTTTGATTTTTTAACATTTTCCAGGCTTGGATCGCTATTTATTCTAGTCTACGTTGTACATCCGCTTGGAAGACATGGTGTTCACTCAAGACTTTACAGTCTATCAACGAATTCATCCACTTTCTGTTCTCTATATCAACAAAAGTACTGGTTGTTCGCTATTATTTGCTGATGGTGCTATCGTGGAATGCTGTAAGTCGTTTCCAATCGTTGTCCTTGCTAATTGCTCCTCTCTCAATTGTCATAGGCCTATCATATAGTCTTGTCGATACTATGATGCCATAGTAAGCTGTAGTCTAGTCTTTTTTTGCAAACTAATGCTGCCCTGAATCAACATGATCAACCATAACTTCCAGTCAATACTAGAGAAAAGCAACAACAGCTAAACTAGCACTACTGCGCTGACTTTCATACCCTCTTGTTGCTGCCATCATACCATAATAGCAAGCTGTAGTCAGTCCATCTTTTCTTTGGCAAATGAACATTGCCTTCAATCAGTACAGTCGTCCAGAACTTACAATCAAGGCAAGAAAATTCCAACAATAGCTCTACCACTGCCAGTCTATTACTTAGCAAGATCGACTTGATACAATGTCGCCAATGCTACCATGCAATGAGTATTTATTGACGTAGACTTTGATTAGAGTACAAAGCTATCGTAGTTTACCTTGCTTCGCAAATCAACTCTGCTGATGGATTACTTCGGTACAATCATCAGAACTTACAACCACTACAAGAAAAGAAATACTCTACTCTACTCTAGATAGACAAGTATCGTACTCGGCAATTTCCAATGACCAATACTATCAAATGTTAACATACGCGTCAAGATTCGTCAGTATGCATGTAATAAACTTCTTTCTACTTTCACTTTATTAGCTTGTGAAGAAACCAATGGATTGAAACGGCATTATGAAAAGGTACGCGATGTCTACGGTTGCCTTGGAATCATCAAGAGTTTACACTGTAAGTTAAAATGGATACCATTTCTAGTCCAATTGATAACGATATCAAATGCTTTGACAAACTGCAACAGATCACCATCGCTATAGATAGAGATAAAATATGTAAGGATATCATACTACAACTATACTACTGTAGCAGATTAACCAGAAATAGGATATGAAGAGATTAAATAACACAGTTGTAAGTGTTACAGTCGAATACAAACTTTATGATGATATGAAGTGAAGAGATGAAATATCCCATTGACAAAGTTACAATGCCGTTGACCGTAAAATAGGAAATCGAAATAAGACATGCAATGATAAGAGATTGACAATACCATCATACAAACTTGACGACAGTATATTAGATTAAGATAGGACATCCAAGGATGAAATACAACATCAACGATACTATCTAGAATACAATCTGACAACAGTGTAATAGTAAATTAAGTAAGATGTTACTTGAAGAGATGAAATACCAATTGACAATGCTATAATACTGGTTGGACGATCGTTCATCAGGATAGGAAGAGATGAATTACAACATTAAGTATGTTATAGTACAACTTGACGACAGCGTAATATTAAGTTAAGATATTACATGAAGAGATGTAGACGATATTAATAATGCCATAATACTGTACGACTTGAGGACAGTACAATAGTAATGAATAAAATATGACATGAATAGATAAAATGCCTCGTTGACAATATCACAAGACAAGTTTGCTAAACTTCAATACTAAATGAAGACATTGCATGAAGAGAGGAAATCAATAATTGAATAATAGTCCAATTCTAGTATGATATTAAATGAAGATATTGCATAGAGAGAGAAAATAAACAGTTTAGACGTACCAATATCAAGATACGACATACAAGGATTAGATAATAATCAATTTAAATTATGATAATGCAATCGTACTACCGTATGATATTCAATCAAGATATCACATCATGGAAGGATGAAGTATTGCAATTTAAAACATGACTCGAGAACTGTACGATCATTTGGGCCATAGGATAGTGAGTTGGACCAAGCCAATGCTACGCACATGATGCCTAATTCAAGCATTCATCCTTCATTGCAACTCCTTTCAGTCTTGACATAAAAATAGCGTAGTTAATTCTCCTTTTGCAGTTGATGTTCATTTATGAACAATAATTATAATTGTACACGGAATGGGTAGGATTATAACATGAATGGTTAAATAATAGAACTAGTAAAACGTGTACTAACTACTCAGTGACTACTATTATAAAACAACATCATTTCTATTTTTTCAATTTGATCTATGATCTGGTGCAAAACAATGAAATCAAGAAATAATTCCATTTTTATTGCATAATATATCTTTCCTTTAGCTGAAGGTGTGCAATACCTTATACTTGTGAAAAGTCATTTTCTAGTGGGAAAAATATTCGAAAGTGAAATCTATCGCATTACTGGTGTCGAAGTAGTCCAAACAGCAAGAAATCATTTACCTGATGTTGACGCTGAACGCATAAACGAAATCAGAAAAATCTTGGGTTCTGGCGCATTCTTTTTTTCCTATAGTAAAGAAACAAATTGTTATGACCTATCACTCAACTTGCAACGACAAGCTCGTCAGCTCAAATCTGATGATCGATTTTACTGGTATGTAGCCGTAATTATATACTTTTTACCATGTAATACCCTTGGCCTTTATGCAACGTGTTGTTTCCATTATCCCACCAATAAGAATAGACGATCGTCCTTGCTTCTATCTTATCTTACCATAAATTATTGTTGCATCCTAATTCAACAAAAATGGTTCTTAATTTACTAGGAATCGTGGCATGCAGTCACCATTTTATCAGTATGGTATTGACTGTGAAAATTGGCTAATCCAAGTAATTTGTGGATCGATAGAGATTAGAACCTTGTTTTGCCATGGTAAACAAGCTCGAATTTGTATTTTATCACGAATAAGCTGTGATCGCTATGGCACTCGCTTCAATGTCAGAGGGATTGACGATTACGGAAATTGCGCCAATTTTGCCGAAACTGAACAAGTAGCTAAATATGAATAAATTAAAAATCTGTAACCGTTCTCTAGTTTTCATTAAACACGAAAGGGTGTTACCGGGTTCTGCTAACAAAACACAAAACAAAATATCTATATTATACTCGCTCTTTATTCTACTATAGATTATTTTTACCGATTCTGGAACTACATCTTTCCTAATGTTGCGTGGGTCAGTGCCGATGTTCTGGTCGCAACAAGGAATTCAGGTATGTAACAGTCCTTGTTGTAGCAAAAATTATCGTTTCAACTTGACTTCTTTCGTCATTATATCTTATCATTATCTATACTCGTTTTTTAAATTATCCTTTACTCAGGTTGGCAGTCATAAAATTAAATTAGATCGCAGTGCAGAAGCATCGCTAGGAGCATTTACAAGGTATGAATAATGAGTCCTTTGCTATACTTACCGAGAATTTTGTAGCATAGTGTTACTCAGTTTTCATGACAAATTATTTGCTAACAACTTGTTCCAAATTAAGCTGTATATTTAGTAAAATTGCTACAAGTAAGTTTTACTTTACTATCTATTTCGATCGTTGTAGCCATTTTCAAACACTCAAAGATAAATATGGTAATATCACGGTATTAAACCTTCTCGGTATTAAAGAAGGGGAAGGGATTTTATCAGGAAATTTCAAGGTATATTGTAATTAATTTTTATGTCAAGAAAAGTGATTTGCTTATGTGCTATATGGTGGCCTTTATTTATTTTTACAGTATATGATATCTGAATTACCCCAAGAATTGAAGCCAAATTATGTTGCTTTCGATTTTCATGCTGTTGGTAAAGCTAATGAAAAGGCCTATCTCTTAAAGCAGAAAGTTAAAAAGACCTTTGATCAAATGGGATTTTACTACACTTCAAATGGAGAAGTTCAAAGGTAGTAAAGTGTTATTTAAATTTCTATAAGATATTATTTATAGAGTGTCATTAAATATCTATGAAATTGAATAGTTTTAATGTCTTTACCCTATCATTCTTTTGTAGTAAACGCATCATATATATATATATATGTGCATTAGTTAACGTACTAATTACTTATTTCATACGTCTAATACATAGTCTGCAGAATGGTTTTTTCCGCGTAAACTGTATGGATTGCCTGGATAGAACTAACGCAGCTCAGGAAATGCTAGCAGCCGAGGTGTGATCATATATTCAACTTTGTATTACCGTGACAAAAAAAATCCAATGCGCTTTATAAATTATGGACACTACCTTGATTAAAACGATAATTCGTTTGTTGAATAGATTTTGCCACAACAGGTAATTGCCTTAATTGGAGCTGATAAGCTAACTCTTTCAAAATTTGCAATGACGGTAAGACCACTATGGAAAGACAGCGGCAATAGAATAAGTAAGATGTATGCTGGTACTCAAATGCTGGAGGGCAAATCCAAGGTTAGAGATATAATTTGATGATCGCAAATGTTCAATATTTATATATTTGTAGATATCTGTTTTATCTTCACATTCAATTGGATGATACAATTTTTATAAATCGAAACATTCAGATGGATAAAGTCAAAGTTGCAGCAAGTTCAGTTGGACGTACAATTATTAGTAATATGCTCGACACGGTAAAGCAGGAGGCTTTTGATATTATTCGTTACGGCAACACTTTTAGTGGATGTATTGATGCCAGACGTTATGGAAATGTAGCTGAAACTTCGTATGCTTATCTCAGCAACAAATTTAGATATCGTAAGTGATATAGAATCACGCAACGTTGTAATACACCGTTACTAATCGTTGATAATAATCAATAAAAATTTTTGTTTTAATCAGATCCTCCGGCATACCTGAGCACAATTTGTGAAAATCTCGATAGCCTTACAAAGCAACTACCATTACGCGTATTTATCGGCACATGGAATGTAAACGGAGGTAAACACTTCCGTAGTATTGCATTTCGTCATCAATCTATGGCTGATTGGCTGGTTCATGCTCAAGACATTGCAGCCCAGCGAAGTAAGCCTTACATAGATACATTCACTATGATAAAGAAGTATAATCGGAATGTGGAGTAACGAGATCTATTTAACATATTAAATTTACCCTAAAATTTGTAGTAAAATAAGTTGGATGGTATAATACATTTCCAGCTTTGATTATACTACTGTACGTATATAGTGATCTCATAGCAAGCAAAATATATCTCCTATGATGGATTAGGTAATCGGGACCTATCTAATCAAACCAAGCCGGATATTTATGCTATTGGATTTGAAGAACTAGTAGATCTTAGTGCATCTAATATACTTGGTGCTAGGTAAATGATGTAAAGTATACTTTTATACGCTTTGATATTTTATGATTTCCTTTCTGTGCGGCAGCTAATTACCACTCATGTAACTTATTATCTGTTACTTATTTTTATACCTTTTAGCCATACGAATAAAAATGAGTGGCTAAATGAATTGCAACGTATCCTAAATCAAGAGAGCAGTTATGCATTGGTAGCTGTGGAGCAGTTGGTTGGTGTATGCTTATATATATTTGTAAAGGTTTCTTTGTTGCCACACATAAAGTTAGTAACAACTATATATTTGCACTATTTATTTATTATTAATATTTATTTTTAATTACTTCCGAACTGTTCTTGTTAACTATACTGAATGTCGATTCTGAATATTCTTATTGTTGTAGAGATGTTGCTGTCGATACAGTTAAAACTGGTCTAAAAGGAAAGGCAGGAAATAAAGGTGGCATTGGCATTAGATTTCAGCTCTTTTCAACTACTTTTTGCTTCATATGTTCTCATTTAGCCGCTGGACAAAATCACGTCGATGACAGAAATTCTGATTATAAAGACATTCGTGAGGGTCTTACTTTTCCAATGGTTTGTACTTGCATTAAAATGTTAATGTTATTCTAACTAAATACACTTATACGTAATTTTTTTTTAAATTTAAGATTGATAAAATGTAAAAAAATATTATGTAGTCGAATAAGATTAAATACAATTACGCCTAAGACTATTTCAAAATCAACAAGTTATTATAATATTGTTATCACTATTTTAACTGTTCCTTTTTGCAGTATTCTGGAATTACGTCATGCGATAAAAGTTCAATGGTATGTTAACCAATAATTCATTGTTGTACATTATTATAATGGAAATATTTTTATCACAATTTACTCTATGCTAATGGATGGGATTAATTGAATTAATTGAACAGGCTTATCTGGTTGATTCTCATGATTATGTTTTTTGGTGTGGTGATTTAAATTATCGTATCGATTTACCAAGAGATGAGGTACTGAAAATGATCGAGAATAATAGCTGGCTTACTATGCAAGAAGAGGACCAATTAATCAAATCGCGAGAGAGTGGATTGGTAATAATAAATTTTTTAGAAATATGATATGATTTATTTGCGTCGTGCCAGCCTTATTCACTAATTTGATAATACTGCTTGCAGTCATTTATAGGTTTCAAGGAAGGAAAGCCAGATTTTGCTCCAACATATAAGTACGATTTATTTTCAGATGATTACGATACTAGCGAGAAGCAGCGAACTCCAGCCTGGACAGATCGAGTTATGTGGAAACATATAAAAAATTCGTCCAAATTATTTAGACGTTTTAAATCAGCTCGAAGTGGAAATGTGAGCCACACCAAAAGTATTGATAAACTGGATAGCTCAAGTGAACCAGCTAATAATAATAAAGCTGTTATCAGTGATGAGCCATCTGAACGCTATGACAGTTCAAGCGATGATGAAGTGGATGGCAGTAAAACGTATCGTAAATTTAGTAGGAAACTTGATTTAATGAACATAAATCATTTAGAAGAGATTACAACAAGTCATGTTACTGAATCTCAACGAAAAGAAGGTCACTTAGTTTATTACGATAGAACTGAATTAAAGACTTCTGATCACCGACCAGTAGCTGCAATTATCGATGTTAACGTTCAAAATTTAATGGAGTCTGATTTTCAGAATTATGTATCTGAAACAAACACCGTATGTCAGAAATCTTTCCCATTGTCCATTCTTGTAAAAGTTATTTCGGATCGGTCAGCAACTAATTCCACAAAATTGTTACCTATTACTTTCCGACTATATACTACTCTAAGGCGTTTTGGTGAAATTGCAATGATTAGGTAACGTTTAGTTATTGTTGTTGCCAAAACGAAATCTTAAATGAGTATCCGGTTCAATAATTAATGACGGCTAATATCTTTTCTATTTCAGGTCCATAGATTATCGTAGCGCAATTGCAACGTACTGGAATGGTCATGATGCAATTAAAGCGGCTCATATCTTAGAAAAGACTATTGTTAGTATTTCAAATGTATTGTTGCATACATCATTTTGCAGAGCTATCTTTTATCACTCTATTATTAACACTATGTACTATACATTTATAAATGTTACTATTTAGATCGATGGAAAGGAGACATTAGTTTCCCTTCGTTGCGATTTTCGGAAGGACAGTGAGGGTACGTCAATACTACTTCTTTCTATTATTGTATAAAGAAATTTTGCGAGTGTAGTGATCGTTTTATCGGTATACTTGTATTGGTACTTCTTTTGATTAATTGTTTGCTAATGTAAGAATTACCGTGCCTGTATATTGATAATTAATCTAATAGAATCTATAGATTAACGAGTTTATTTAAAATTTTACCCAACAGGATTAACCTACGATTTAGATGATGATGAGAATACAGTAGATGCATATGAAGCTAATATCCAAGATCTAAATATACCACAGTCTCATTTGTGGCTCATGAGCGATGCTCAGGAACAACAGCTACAAGGTCAGAAGAAAAGCCCTCCTGTTCCTGGGCACCCTGGTATAAAGCGGCCTGCACCGGCTCCTCCAAGACCTGGCAGACCACCTCAATCAAAGAGCGCATCCGATTTTGGCGGAAAGTCATCGTCATCGCTAAATACAGCTACACCCGTAGAAGCTCCTCGTCGGCCGCCTCCTCCGGCAGCACGTCCAGCAGCCGTACCAAAGAAACCACCTGCTCCGGAAAGACCTGCTAGGCCGGCTACGGTAGACAAATCGATTCCGTCACGACCGCCAAGGCCTAATTTACAGCAAGAGACTACCCCTCTAGTAGATTTTGATTACAATACCAATAGCAATCAATCGCACCAGCGACAAGACTATGGAGTTGTAAGATCGAGCTCGGATGATATAAAGGATCTAACTGTTTGGTATGCTAGTACAATGAATGTATCCGAAGCACCACCACCACCTTACCGGGAGAATGCTAATAACAATATTATACAAAGAAATGAAAATGCAGTATCTCAAACTAGCAGCAGTAATTCCTCTGTGGCTAATATCAGTCGTAAAGCACCACCACCGTTGCCAGTACGATCTAAAGATAATATTAGTGATACTGCACAAATGCATACCACCCAATTTCAAGCTTATAATAGCAATTCTTCCAGTGATGATGAAGATTATCATCGATCGGCGGGTAAAAATGGTGGCGATGGTCAAGACATGAATAAAGCATCCCAAGTGCAATTTGAAATTTACAATTCTGATTCTTCTGACCAAGATGATCAAGCAGTTGATCTATCACGATCTTCGTTACCAACAGGAGGTGATAATCTTCAGTATCATAAGAATACTCAAATTCATGATGACGATGTGATCTCTTCTAGTGATGAAAATGCCAATCCAGCGGACTATGAGTTTGAAACTATTAGTGATAATGAAGAGGCAATGATTAGTAAGCTAAATATCGAGAATGATAGTGGAAGTGACATTTCTATTGATGTAGATGATCACGAAATCTCAGAGCCAGCAAATAACGTAGTATTGTCAGGTGTACCGCGGCCGGTAGAGTATTCCACTACCAACGAGAGTAACACAAATCTCAGTTATGGTGACCAGACAGACAATAAGGTTGGGGATTACGCTGATGCTCGTCCGAATTTTGATGGCCAATCTGAGAAATCTGCCAATGCTCGCCCTATCCCCGTGAAGCGTCCACATGCTCCTCCAAAACCGCCAGGTTGGCGGCCTGTACCTAAGCCAAGGCCTCGTTAAATATCACATTTGTTGGAACTAGATCGTAACTTTTAGAGATGCTAAGAGTTGAGCGTATTGTACTGTATGAAATGTTGAGGTTGCAGCTAATTATAGTCCGATGGTATAAACTGAGTGTAGTTCCCTTAAGCTTGTACGTACAGTACGTGTATTTACCGGAATACCTAAATTTTGATAGCCGTTTTAAGCAGTACCGTAACCCATCACCGATATATTCTTCGGCTTTGTATGGTCAAATTTATGTTATACTAGGATAAGAAGAATAACTATTATCTTGTTATCGCTAGCTTCAGCATGCAGCTATAGTTATTGAATTGGCAATATTGATACTTTTATCAATTCTATTATTTGCTAGATATTTTGCGAATTGACCGTTTCTGATACTCCAGAATTATTTCATTTCTTAGCCCTACACTCTCTTGTATACGTTCTATCAAGTTTATTATTTTTCACGACAGGGTGTAAGACAATTTCGTAAATATCTACATTATGGATTAGTTAAATTAATTAATTTTAGTTGGAGGTGCTATCAAAGATGATAAATGTTTGACCTACATATGTAGAGGCATTATTATTGTAACGGATAAAATTACTTGGATGCTTTGACGCACATTTACCTCTTGAACTAGAAAGATTGCTAGCTATTATAGTTACTTATTACCGACATTTCAAAATATAAATTTGATTACATAATGTTTATAATCGTAGAAATAATCCTTGATGGATAAGCAGTTATGATACTGCACCTGAAAAATGATAATTGTTTTATTATTGAATTTATAAAGCCACGGCACAATCTAGACAGTAGGTCGTTTTAATCTTCGTGGTAGCTTATAATTTTATATGGTTTTATCCGAGTAGATTTCAATTAAACGAATGCATTTTGATGTACATTTGTTTCATGGATGGCTACAATATCCTGACCATTGTGTTATTGTGATATTGATCATGATTTTACTAGTAAGATTCTGTAGCTTGATTTAGGAGTTCAGTTTATGAAAAGGCGAATAACCTTGTAGAAGACAACCAAGTATAAAGATTGTCAACAAATAAGAAGGAAGAATTCCTTATCCTGGTTAAAGAATCTTGTGTTGCTCCGTCAGTAATCATGTGATAAAGATCAGAGTGAAACTAAAAGAAAATAGAGTGAACACAGGTTAATATGAAACCAGTTCTGATAGATTTAATCGAATTACGAATCTTTCTGCGTCCATAATTATAAAATTTAAAATTCATATCTTACATGAGTGCCTTCAGCTGGTGACTCTGAGTATTCGTCACTTTCTTCGGTAATTTTTAATTCACTTGCTCTTTGTCGATTGATCATGTAAATTTTGTAGTCGAGCTAATTCAACATAAGAAATAAAAAATTTATAAGACACTATATAGTTAGCTATGGACTTATCAATGTAACTACATATACATCTGCACATATACAGGATATTATATATACTTGTATGTAGATATCGTTGTAAAATAATATCATTAAATGTAATGTTTTATAATAGATAAACAAATAAAGGCATTTTGTAGAACGTCTACTTACTGCCTCCTCAGCCGTTAAATTCTCCACGCCTCGTAAAATGATTGAATCTCGACCGCTATCAGCTTCAGTATTCCATTTTGACCATGAGTAACTGTATGCTGATCCTGTTAAAGCAATCTGTCGGTAGACATCGAATTCTAATTTCTTTTTCTGTTAAAAGTATAAGAACATTAATAGATTTTTAGAATCAAGATAAAGGTACAGAAATTTAGATCTGTTAAAATGGCACTGTAGTAATGAATACTGCAAATAATTTGCAGATTGATATAAAGACCAATAAAATTTTTTTCATGCCGATAATACCTTGGGATTAATGCTAACATATTTGTCAGAATCAATTGTTGGAAAGACGTCGATACCAATTTCTTCCATACACTATTCGATATAGATATTTAATATGACAGAAAAAAAATCGATTAAAACTGGAAAAATTTTGCAAGTGATGCTCTTCCTGATGAATTATAATCTCTTTAGCAGTATATTACACATTCTTTAATCGCACTATTCTCGAATTTAATTTACTTTCATCAACTCTTGTGGTGACATCCATTTATCAGTTATTAATTCAATCTCTTTAGGACTTTCTGCAGTGAGTTTTATGCGACATACGTCATCCTAGAAGTGTTAACGGTAATAAAACTATTGAGAAAAATTGTATTCATTGACCTCATTATTTATGCCCTCATTATTTGATCATAAATAGATCGGTAGAAATGTTAAATAAATACTGTATCAATCTGTAATTTACTATCAAAGATGTTTCTTTATCAATAAATGATGTAACTAATACTGTAGCTTTAACTACTATGGCGATGATAGATATTTATTTAATAAAAAATAATGACACAGTCAGTAATGAGAGTATTCATACGGTCTCATTACGATGTAGTATTTCTTTTTGAGGAAGTACAACAATTGCACAAAATTGATTACCTTAATTTCTACTTCAAATTCTGTAATGGCAGCCATAAACAATAATTTACCGTGGTTTAGATCTAATGGCGTATATTCCCAGAATTGAAATGGTAAATTTAAATATTTGTCCTATTTAAATTAAATAATTTTACAGTTTAGAATATAAAATGGATACTACAGAATAGAATTAGTGAAATCGCAATGATTAACAACATTTTTGCACTGGTAGATCGCTGATATTATACTGTGCATTTGACATCTTAATCCAGTAACTACTGGAATTTTTAGTAGTACCATCACCTGCATGATTGCAATAGGGCCAAAAAAATCAATTTTAAAGGCTATCATTTTGGTCGCTTCGTCATATTTAACATCATTGAATCCGTCGAAACGCCAACATGCATTTTTATCGTCCCATCGCGCTAATTGTGGGGGTTCACTAAAAACCATGTACTGCGGTAGTCTACAGTATATTTAATGTTAGTAGTAAATTGAAAATGTTAGCCATACAATGCTTTATTTAAGGCTATACAATTAGAATCTTAATCGATAGATTTATATGTACAACGTACTGCATAGTTGTTAAAAGAGAACCACTAGAATTGCCAGATGTTGATGGTGAATTTGTGCTGGCAGATTCTTTGCCTGATGATGTTTGAGCAGGTGTAACCGGTTTGGAAGCATCAAATGGATAGGCTTGACGTTGTAATCCAGGAGAAATTGCTGCACAGAAAGCATATTCCAAAGTATCAGTATCATTTTGGTTAATAATTATTTATATATTTAGCCAATTATCTGTAGTCAATTCAGTTAGCTACACAAGTGATTACTAACTTTCTCTGATAATCCAGTTTTTAATTTTTTTGCGCTGTGGTGGTAATTGAATAAGATCGATATAAACACAACCTCCCATACTTCGATATGCTCTTAAGTCAACTACATTATCATCATCATCAAGAAGATCATCGTCAATTTCTTCATAAACACTCTCTTCATCGTCATCTGCTACTATATCTTTGTTGTGTTCTCCATCTACGTTTTCATTATTTTCAGCATTCTCAACAGACTCAGTTAGTTGATCGAAATCTAATATTAATAAAATTGAACATCTCTTGTTAGCATTATATGTTTTATTTACGATAAAAGATGATGTTTTAAAGTAAATCTATTGCAAATGAACCTAATGCAGGGATTTGCACGCTACTGGAAACGTTTTCCGATTCATTAGGTAATTTCTTTTCTACTTCTGTTAGCTACATAAACAGATCAAAATGATACATGTACAATTTATGGATTACGTAAATATAGTTTACTTTAGAATACGCTAGATGAACCCACTTGAAAGTAGCAGTTTGTATTTCATTATAGAATAATAGAGAAATTGCTATGAACTGCTTTACCTCGTTATTGGTTCCACTTTTTTCATCATCCTGAATCTGGCCTTCTGCTTCATTGCCATTCTCATTGCTTTCATCCTTATCTTCGCCTTTTTTCTAGATAAACATAGATGCTATTTATTGTATTGAACCATGACATTGAGATAGCTGTAAAATTAATTATTAATACCACAATTTTTCGTCTTGGTTTAGGGTTAAATGTTCGACACTTCGGCGATAAATAATCAAATTTTGTATACATTACACGAATACCAATATTGGCTAATAGAATTAATCTTGGAAGTTCGATAGAGAATGATCGTTCTTCGAAATCTAATGCTTTGACTCTGCAAAGTAATTCATTGTCACAGATAATTAAATCTTTTTGAAGTCCGTCCATCAAACTTGTTGAAAGGAGCATTTTACGATATACCGTAATTTACAAGGGTTACCTGGGATTTTTGCTAAGATTTGCCCATAAACATATAGTAGCTTGATGGCTTGATTCAGACTGTTTAAAATTAAGCTGGTCAGGATCGGCATTCTCATGTGCAAACTAAAAGAGTGATAGACAGGAAGTTAAAATCTAATTTATATTATATAATATGACATAGTATCTATATGCAATATCACACATGATCCTACCGCTAGCTGATACATCGTGGTTTCATCTAGTTTATCTGAAACTAACTGTTGTAATTGCAGAGATGCCTAGATAGGTAGTTTACAAAATAAAATTTTATTGCAAGAAGATATAAAAGAAGATCATAATAATATCGTCAGTACTTGTCGATTTCGTTCTTCTTTTACTTCCGTAGAATTATCACCCTCACTTAACGAAAGTTCATCCATACCCTCAATTAATTCGTCGACAAGCTAGAAAAAAAATAATTGATAGACTTGTATATTTACTATATTACGCAATTGACGGAAATGGATTAAAGTTAAATTGGCGTCTTTAAAAAAGATCTCATACTTACATTTACACCATCAGTAATTTCGTTTAGGACCTCAGAAATGGATTTAATAGCGGTATCTTCTCTCCATAGGTTCATATAGGTATTTAATTCGGAAGAAATGAAAGGATTCGGACTGCCGTCACATCTCATGAAACGATTCCACTGTAATAGTAAGCAATAAAATAGGCATTAGAATCATAAAAGGCATGCAGTAAAAGGTAAGTAGTCTACATCTGTATAATTCGTAAATTGCAAAGATGATATTGGTAGATTACCTGTTTTTGTTGTTTCCATTTTGTGATAACTTCTGTTAGTGCTCGTTCATTCTCATTTAAGATAGAATTTAATTCCGATATTTCAGCTTCATGTTGGGCTCGTTCCTAATATACGAATACGATATTAAATTATTCATTGGATGAAAGCTACTCCAAAATGACTATTACTCAGTTTTATAATTTTTACTACGCTTACTTAATTTTGGAATATATTTATAAAAACATCTTGCTAATGTAATACTAATTTTCTTACGATTTCTTCCAAGCGTTGTCTTTCAATACGTTCTTGTCGTTCTTTTTCTTCCCTTTCCTTTTGTTCCTGTTCTAATCTTAGGCGTAACTCCTCTATTGATAGATTATAGTTGTTGCAAAACTGTTACTATTACATGATCGATGAGGGATTTACAAGCTCTCTTTACTAGAAATCAATATCGGAGTTGCTACAATACTGCTCAAGTATTCATAGCCATTTATCGATATCGGTCACTAACGTCGGAAAAATTTTAGAATTGCGGATTAAAGCTTTTAAATTACTTTACAATTTTGCGTACTTTTGTAATGTAAGTGCAAATACATCAATTCTTTTTCAATATTATATACAGTGTATGGCATAGCTAGATGGATATTATGATGATGATGATGATGGTGATGTTATGATTACAAATTTTACCTTCTTCCCTTGCTCTCCTTTCGGCTTCCTCTTGACGAAGTCGTTCTCGCTCTTTCTTAGATAGCTTTTTCTTGCCTTTGCCTTTACCTTTGCCTTTGCCCCTTTTTCCAATTGAGCTAGGCTATCAATTAAATAAATGATGATTCAAAATTCATGCATGATATCAACCGAGTATCTTGTTGACCATCATTTAGATGAGTATGATACAAGGACAGTATGAATCGATTATAATAAGAATTGAATATTATTCAACTAGGCGAAACATATGATAGTCATGCCATCATGAATGTTATTACCAACACTATGGGAGCATACGATGTAGATTTACCGATCTAGAAATCAATTTAAGAGGACTGAATAACTATAAACTCTATTGATTTCTATCCTACTTAAGCAATGGATCAATGTTATCGACGGGCAATTAATCTATCAATCCTTCCTCAAGACGGAAGAGATTATTCAATCGATCTCTACTCCATTCTAACAAAGGTTATCAACTTTTCCAATCCATCAAAGCTGAACTGAAATAATGATGAATTTGACTGAACATAGCAATGATAAATAGCATGAAATTAAGGATGATAAATCAATCTTGTTCATTGCAAAGTCGACTACTTGATCACTCACCATTTTGCATCGTTCTCCAACTGTTGCTAAGTAACCGCCAGGCAGTGTTATTTATCTTAGCCAGTGCACGCACTACAGTGTACAGTACAGTGTACGGTATGGAATTATTTTGGCCACATTAAGTTTGTCTGAGCTATGGTACAGTATGACATACTAAGTACTATATCAGCCCGTTATTGACTGTACAGCGTACATCGTGACTAGTACTGTAGTAAGTTAGTACTGTACCATGAGGGTACCCAATCAGGTTGGACCTGAGAAAGGTTCGGGTCTATGGTCAGTACTGTATTGACTGGTGCTATTAGTATAGTCCTGGACTCCTGTTCCAGTAGTACTGCACCTTTGCGACCGTCAAGCACTGGCCCATCTGAATCCGTTAGCAAAGATGGCTGAAACAAGAACTCTAGTCAGAAATTTATATAAGCAAGTATGGATAACAACATAATCTTAAGCTATTACTTTCTTGACAAGGGTACTAAGCATTTTAAAGCTGCAATTTTGAATTCATAACATGTAGTATATTATGTTATCGTATAGTTTACCTGTACTTATAGTATAGAGGGGACACTTACCCTCGAATGCATTTGGTATTTCTCCACTACCTTTCAAAAATAAAGCATAAATTGTGACTACTCGTAGCTTTAAGTCTTTACTATCAATAGCTTTTAATATCATATTTACAACATGTAATACAGTATATCAATCTATAGTGTACTCATGTACATGTATGTTTGAATGCATCAGGTATTTATTCACGATGAAAAAATAGGATATAAATTGTTGACTACGATGTAAATATAGGATATAAATTGCTACTACGATGTAAATATAGGATATAAATTGTTGACTACGATATAAATATGGGATATAAATTGTTGACTACCCGTAGCTTTAACTTAAGCATTGACTAGCATGCAATAGATAGTATATCATTTTTACGTTCAAATGCATCAGGCATTTCTTCACGATGAAAATACAGGACGTAAATTATGGACTACTCGTAGCTTTAGCTTAAGCATTGACTAACATGGAATAGATAGTATGTCATTTTTACGTTCAAATGCATCAGGTATTTCTTCACGACGAAAAACTAGGACCACTCGTAGTCTTAACTTAAGTATTGACTAACATGTAATAGATAGTATGTCACTGTTACGTTCGGAAGTTCGGATGCATCAGGTATTTCTTCACGATGAAAATATAGGACATAAATTGTTGACTACTCGTAGCACTAACATGTAATAAATAGATAGTATGTCACTGTTACGTTCGAATGCATTAAATAATTCTCCACGATTTAACAAATAGGGCATAAATTGTTGGCTACTTGTAGCTTTAAGCATTGAGCGATAGCCAACCATTCCTTCGATTTCGCATTCGTAGCATGTAATACAGTATGTCATTGTATAGTCTCGTATATGCATATTTTAATACATCAGATATTTCTTCACGATTGAAAGTAAGACATAATTTGTTGACTACTTGCAGCTTGAAGCATTGACTATAGACACCAATTCCTTTAATTTCGTATTCATAGCATGTAATACAGTATGCGATTGCAGAGTATACCTATATACTCGTAGGCGTATATTCGAATGCATCAGGTATTGCTCCGCGATTAGAAGTAAAGCATAATATTATTGACTACTTGTAGCTTCAGGCATTCATTTTATATCTTTAAGCAGTTGCTGTACTAGAACGTAGTATAGTATGCCATGTACGTACGCTACGATTGACCTCAATACGTTCGAATACATCGACTATTTCTACACGATTAAAAAATTGAGCATAAATATCTGACTACTCTACGTTTTCACGATTTACTATTCTATTTCGTATTCATAGCATGTAGTAAGAGTATAGTATGCCATTGCACGGCTTACGTATGGAGGTACGTCCATTCGAGTACATTGGGTATTTTATCCACTTGAATTAGGACGTAAATGCTTGACTATCCGCCATAATTGAACCTTTTATTCCTCTTCAAAGAGACTTTCTATATTATTCCGATTTTTATTTATTTTTTACAGATGCTTTATCTGGGACGTGATTATCCTGCAGGTTACGACTACTTTCGCGAGCGTTTAAGACGGGCATTTATGAAAAATCGTGAGGTTAAAGACCCTGAAACCATTCATAAGATGATTGATCGTGGTAAATTTGTAATCAAAGAAATTGAAGCATTGTATATGCTGAAGAAATATCGCACCTTGAAACGAAGATATTACGACTCATAAAAAATATGAAACAGGTGTTGTTGCAGTATTGATCCATGGAATACTCTGCAGTCTTGAGTCTCGACGCGTTTGAGCAAGAGGATAAATACTCGTACAAGTAGATAATAATCATAATGTAGATACTTACAAATGCGATATCGGAATGCGTAATAGCAAGCTTGGCAATGCCATTGAGAACTCTTCCTGCAAGCGAAGTTCACCAATAAATAGCAAAATGAAATTATTACATAGTGGGTTCTTCACGATGCTTCTTGAACTACAAGATTAAAAGGGGTTTTAATTTCAACTCTTTACTTAATTTGTAATCTCAACATGTACGAGTACTGTAGTTAGATGCTGTTATTTTCCTTTATCTGTTCATCTTGAAACTACATGTTACGATAGAGCTATCCTAACTACAAAATTTCGACATGGACACATTCCTATGCCGCTTATTGATTCTGCTTTGATTGAGATTGTATTCCAGTTTACGATAATATAGGCGAGCGTGGCTGTTAACGCTGTTATTAGAAGATGTCTGAAGGGATCGCGTTGATAGATTGCTATGCTGTATGGTTGCTAAAAAGATCACAAGTATACAATATTCACGATCAAACACTCTACTAATTGCTACCATCTTGAAGCTTTATGTTATAAAGATATAATTAATTACCGGTGCAGTACGCGTGTAGATGATGAATAACGAATGCTTTGTACAGATTTAAGATATGGAACATTTGTAAATTAATATTTTTCCTTATTTACTACATTTACATCTCAAATGCAAATAATTTTCCTTCTTTACGGTGCAAAATGGACGCTAAAAATCGCCCTTAAAATGAAAAGTATAATTGCTACCCATTATAAAAGATTCCTACTCATAACTATTGATTAATTATAATCACACGTAGCGGTCATGCGAGATAAAAATATTATGTGGTCCAAATCATCTTAAACCTATGATCAAAAATTGAAAATTTGGCCTCTTTTTAAGTAGAATGCAAATTAAATTCCGTCAATTCTCTAATGATATTTTATCTTACTTATTGCTACTAATATACGCGCATATCACACAACAGCAAATAATAAACGCAAGCCAAAACTATCTACGATTTCAAGTTCCTTTTATTAACAGCGTATTATACACAACCGATCTTAGTAGAAATACAGTTACGGTTAGTCATTGTTTAATTCTTTCTAACTGGAAGAACCGAATCCACGACCGCGACCAAAGCCAGCACCACCGCGCTGTTTATAAAAAAAAAAGGGCAGGAATAAATGCCAAAGTTTAATACAAAATTAACTATTATACGCGTACATATCAATATTAAAATAATGGTAGTATCGAAAATGCATGTTCGGAACTTACGAATTGAGGTTCAAAGTTACTACCAGCTCCAACTCTTTTACCGCCATCTGTATCAAAAAATGTAATAAATCGCTATTAGCTGATGTCTAAATCGATAATAAAAGATGTATTTGCAAGTTCCAAGGATTGATCAACACGTATCATCTAAGAATACGGTAAAACACGACAGTAATATAATGTAGCAAGTTGATCAACTGTTTAATAGTTGGTTTTTAATAATTTCGTGTACGAAATGCATTCACCATCAACATCCTACAAATCAGAATGAATACATGAAAGGAGACGGATACTGTCCCTAGCAAATGGACCGCGAATGCCTACGTAATTATCGGCACTGCGGTGAGTATTACAGGGATTATTATTGCAAGGCAAAAAATTAACCCAGATCATGGACTGCTTATTAGCAGTCTACTAAGATAGAGTGTTGACTTGCATTATAGCAAACGTAAGAGCGACAACTCTATCCTGTGTCGTCTATAGAAATTATGGAGGTTGAAGAGCAGTGATTCTGCTTCACAACGTAGAAAGTTAAAATCTGTGATTGTAGTAGCATACACGTGTGTATCATCCTTTCCTACTAGTGTGTAGTGTTTACCTCTTCTATAACCTTCTCTATCTGATCTATCTCTGTCATCACGGCGAGGACGATCGTCACCTAGATTAGCAGGAAAGAGTCATCATGATTACCTTAGTGAACTATTACAAAGAACTAGCGGATCATATTCGTCTAATCGAATTGATCCTAACAAGCAAGGTGACTTGGTACACTAATCGATGCTTTGAAAGATAATTTACCTCTATAGAATCCTTTGGAAGGACGAGGTGGCTCAGGTTTAGCCTGGCGTTTCAATGTAGTAGGTACAATTTCAGCTGGCAAATGCAAGTAATTGCGCAAAAAGTCAATCCCTTCGTTGGTTAAAGACCAGTAGTAGTGTCTCCAAGCGAATTGTTCTTTTACATAGCCGCGTGATTTTAATGACTGTAGAGGATTGAATAAAAATTCAGGTTATCGAATGACGCGGCATAGTAACTCTGTTGCACCATCTAGCAGTTTCATATCGATCAAAGGTAAACATGGCTACACTATGTACTGCATACTACAAAGCATCAATAATACTCGACTTGCCATGGAATAAGTAAGAATCCTTGTAAAGAGACTGTAGATGTTCAACGTTAGATGGAAGTAACATTGAGACATTGTTCAACTGTTAGCCTCATTAGACAGAAAGTAAACTGTAGAAAAACGCTCACAGTATTAAAGGACAATTGTGCTTTGATCAATATTACTGCTAAAATGGGTTCCAAATTAGGTTTAATTTTTTCGTCTATAAGCCTATACGTTGCACGCACTGAACGTACATTATATCTAACTACTACTCATGAGCTTTAATAACTTTACTTATTTAGCAAGTCCATGATCACTTTTGCAATTTGCGTCGTTAATTCGTATCACCTTACCTGACAAGCTTTGATGACTTGCAAGTTAGGAACAGTTTCAAGTTCAGGATGTTTAGGGGCATTAAACTCCTTTTTAGCGACCATGACGCCATCATTGAACAAACGTTCGTAAACTAAGATCAAATTCTTCTTAGGGATCAACATGGTAGACCGTCTAACAACGCAAAATGAGGTCAATTAATCACCATACTGTCCTTGTAATAGACCACTCATAGGTCTAACCGAGATCGATCGACACTGTCTACTTGTAGGAAATATCGATAGTAGAACAACCGATTGCTGTGAGCAATCGGCACAGATTGTCGAATAACTCCAAGAAGCATTTAAGACAGTAGCTTAAAGAAACACAGCTCCTTGTGCAAGACTATTAGTGTACTATATCACGTACATAAAGAGCATTTAAGAATGGCAAAGGCAAAAAGTAACATGGACTATCCTAATGACACAGGAATCAGTCAGTTATCCTTCCTATCGCTATTACAATCCTTCATTTCTCAACGATCACAAGTAAGAACGAATACAAAATGGATATACTAGTTGTAGTGATAAATAGACTATTATTTTCTACATTGATTATCCAAATAAGACAACGGATGGTTAGCATTATAGCACGATTCGAGTTATGCTGTTGATCGCAGCCATGTTCACTTACCGTCTTCTTCTCCACCACGAGTAAAAAGGGAGAGAAGTTAATTTTGATGCGCATGTGTACAGCCATGCAGGACCATTTGCAGTACAGTACTATGGTACACTGTACACTGTGTAATAGAGTACTGTACACTGTAATCAGACAGCTGGACAGTGCACACTGTACACTGTACAGTGTACAGTACTGTACAGTACTGTACACCGCAAACCCTTAAGGGTACTGAACCGAACCGAACCGAACCGAACCGTTCTAGGTCTCGGTACTACTATAACTGTACCGAACCGTACTGTACCGTACCCGCCGGATAGTCCTCTATAGTAAGGATCTCCATGAACTACTTTTCGATTTTTCGACGGTTTTTAGAGTTCAAGTTTTGAAACCCATGATAGTGAAATCCATAGCAGGGATAAGAACTAGGACAATCACTGTCATAGCCACTAATAATTGACTTGAAGCAGAGAAAGACGCTCGATACTATTAGGATCATGATTTATTTTCATTTCTAATAACTCAATCAATCATCCCGTACCAGGGACTTGTCATACAACTACTTTATTTGTCTCAGAAGTCCATGCTCGTACAGTATTGTTTGAAAGAGTGCTGAGGAGAGCACCACTTTACTCAGTGCCATGATCAAGCTATTTTGATTCCATAAGCGATCATTTAAACTTGGAGCTGATTTGCAAGTTTTATTCCTTCCAACAGTATACTACGTACTGTGCGTAGTGTAGGGTCTCTTCGGCCAACTGTACAGTGTGATCTTTTGTGCAATGGACATGCTGTAGACCTGTTCACGAAATGAGCACTGTCGATGGAGTTATTTTGTCATCACTTGCTGGCATAGGTTACGTCTCTTGCAAGTCCATTTTGCACCAAAAGTCAGTCTACATCCAATCTATACTAAACTCGATGTCAGACTATAGCAAAAAGGTATTAATTTCCCCTTACAAGTCGTTAGTAGTAGCTGTTGACGTTTCGATTTTGACCCCAATCGATTCTCTAGAGGACGATTTGAATCCGATCATCAACAGGCGTAACTGCTACAGTATGTCGGAAAGCACTTGCACATTTGGGTAAAAATGACCAGCAAAAGGATAGCCATCAATCTAGTCAGCCTCGTTATTTCTACAGTAGCAGGTAGTAGTCCACAAGCATCCTATTACACTAGACTATCGACTAAAAGAGCTGGCAAATTGATTTTGTAGTGTACTATAAAATGGAGAGGAAGGCCAGCAAGTAGATTGCATTCCATTAGTCTCTTCCATTGTAGTCTATTCTACCCAGTTAGAGGTTTAATATGGAAAATCCCCCTCCCAAAAATCCAAAAAGCGCCATGAAATGACCGGCTAAACCGGTGCGCAATCAAGACGTAATGATCTCTAGTAATCCTTGTTCGCAGTACCATGATTAGATCTAAGGCGAGGGTGGTACTCGATCCTTACAGTGTACAAGCTCGATCAGACTTGCCAGCAACTAACTACCTACTAAGTTAAAGAGCGCTACCCCAATCGCATACAAATTATTTACCTTTGAATGTTGTTGTAGAGCAATCAAGGTGGCGTAGGGTGTGACTAATCAACATGCCGAATTATAACATGGAAGCCGCGTCGAATAAAGGACGCGATACTAGTTTAGAAAATATCCGAGATGCTGCAAGTACATTTTGGGATATTGGCAATTATAAGAGAACTGTCAAGCGAGTGGATGATGGTGTGAAGTAAGTTGATGACGAGAAATAACGGTAAACTACGATAGCTGTGTAATCATCATCGCGGCAAACGAGTAGTGGTAGACTAGGACGAGTGGATAGTTGAGGTCTAGTCGATTCTGGATCATCATCATGACTTCTTTCCTGTTAACTTAATTAGCCTTCTATTTTATCGCTTTGCAATCCTAACTATTCGATATGATACACTCTCATTCTCATTGTATTTTTTCATCTTGATCCATTTCTCAAACTTTTCAATACTGGATCATGCATTCTTCTTGCATCAACTTGCTCCTTTGATCGGGTGCAAAGGCTCTCGTAATCACCGACATTAACGTGATGATGATGGCTAACCAATGTCATATTTGCATTATGGCTGCCATCTTGGCATGGGCTTTTTCTTATACGCATACATTGATTTTACTATCTTAGCTTTCATTGACATTGCCTTTAGGATGGCCTACGCTAGTCTACTTCAAATCGTATTGATTAACCATTGGTTGCAATAAATCGAGACTCGTTGGACAAAGTTTACTCTAGTCATGGACAGGGGTAGTATGTCATCAATGATGGAATGGCTTCAAGTAGAGATAGAAATACTTTTCAATAACTTTATTACAATCTCGGCCTAGTTTTTATGCTGACATCGGGAGAAAATAATACAGTATACACTATAAAAAATAGGAAGAAATGACGAGAGTTTACAAAAATATCGATACGATCATGTCGATGACAAGCTTTCTTAAAATAGAGTACAATCAATACTCGTAATAGAGTCACTATGCTGCTTTTCCATCACTTTCTACCTTGTCTTTCTAAAGGACAAATAGGATCATCTTGATAACGAATTTGACGACAATTCAGTAATACTCGTATTTCCCCTTTAGGTTACACATCTTTTTCTTGAAATACAAGACAATCATTCCTATCTATCTACCTAAGATTGATACACCCTACTTCTGTTCATTTGTATTTTTTGCAGTTAGGCAAATAACAGATTTTGTTATCATTGTATCTTTCCTTTTTTTCACCGTCTCCACTTTCCAAGCTGTACATGAATTGACTTTGAAGCTTCAATTTGGGAGAGACTATTTTACTTTATGCTCCATTCAATTATCCGTCTATTACTCTATCATCTTGGTTGTGACTTTTGTTAGGCATTGATCGATTTTTTAAAATGATTGTAAGTTCTCGAATCATGCTCATCACAGAGTTAATCCCGCTCGTAATAATTATAATTAGCATCAAACCGTTTGAACATATTGACTAGCCAATCAACAATGACATCATTGCGACGTACTCGGATTGGATGCATAAGGCTCGAATCGATATTTAAACTGGAAATGTGGAATATATTCGATAACATTGTTGCGTTATTCTTGATTAGACTCCTATCTAAGAATAATTTTAGATAATATAAAGCAAGTGTTACTCAGTACTGTACAATAAAATGACAACAGCCGATGAATATGGAATTGATAAGAATGGAATACGTTCGATTGCAACTCAACTTGTCTGTTACAAATCATAACCATGATAGATCAGTTGGCTCTAATAATATAAGTTTATTTGATGATGGCAACTGCACCGTTTTCGATGTAATTGACAACTATAGAAAGAGGTAAAATGCGATGATGCGATTTAACCCTTCTGCAATAGTTGGATACAAGTAGATCATGGTGGACATGAAGCGTTAGTTTGTGCTACTTTTTTAACCTTTCATCAATTAATAGCGTCAGAAAACTTGAAGCAACATAAATCCAAAACTTTACTTGTCCACTCGAGAGGTTTGCAAATCATCCTACTTAGAGGTAAATTGGCCTTAATGATTCTAGGATGCCTACTCAACGATGGATTTATTAGTAATAGAAAATAATCAGTTATAGCGATGGGCATTGACATTGGATTCATTCCACTCGGGACAAAGAATGATTTTACAGTTTTGCTTGATTTCTAACCTTTCAACCACAGTTACATTAAAAAAGAACTTTAGCTTACTGGGATGGAAACTCTTATTGATTCTATACTTGATTCTTGCATACTGTGTGTTATCGACAAAGAGCGGGATTGCGATCATCCCTGCTGGAGATTGTAGCGAAAATTAATCTACCGTATTTATATATTGGAATGATTTGAATGCATTCCGATTGGCTAATACATATAAGTTGATCCATCCCAGAAGCTAACTGCACTACTTCATTAGTTTGTGGTGTTGCTATTGATTATTATTATATAGAACTATTAAAAATGAATCAAAGTGGTCGTTACAATAGTCCTATCTTTAATGGACTGGGAATTGAATCTTCACATCTGGGATTGATTGGCGAGCTAGTCATGCCTTTCCCTAATTTGTTCGCTTTTAATCTTTTATGACTGATTTCTAAATGATAGTCATTGTACTTGACTTTTTCAACATCAAACTTGACATTTAATACTCTATCACCAATGCAATCGCTTTCTTGGCTACCAATGGCCAAGTTGATTGCTTTGAACTACTAAAATGAACCAGTCGTTACGATATAATCCGTACTGTTGACGTTGTTATTTTATCCGATCCTTGAAAAGAATTCGCCAGATTGTTTTTCCTGCTTCTATTGACCAAAAATGAAGTTCAAGTCAACTGGAAATTTTCTTGACTTTCTTCAGTAAGAAATTTCCACAACCTTCTCTGTTCTCCAATATTGACGTTAGTTTTTACGCCTGGATTGCATTGTAATAATAACAGTTAATTATTCGTATTTCATTATTGAATAACGCTAGATTGAATTCCTTCACTTGCAATGTTGATTAGGTTGTCATTGGCAGCGCTTTTGATGATAAAAAAAAATTCGCTGAGAATACTGACTAAACATATTAGTAATCAGAACTGGCTCTCTTCTAAATATGTACATTTATAGTACAGTATACAGCCATTGGTACAGATTAAAGTTGTCCTTTGACTACTGCTGTGGAATTGTTTAATAATTCCATCCGTAAATGATGTTAATGTTTAGTCAGTAGATTTGTTTAGCTATTACCGCATGGTGTTAGCAATTGAAATAGCACGCAATCATGTCATGACTTTCTTATTGCGATAATCAATTTCTACCCCTACTGCGATCAAAAATAGACAGGTGTACAGTACGATAAACTGTAAGTGGCTTTATAAACCGTTGCTTCGGCTTATGGTTATAGTTTTCTGGCCTATTTCTAAACTATCATTACCCTCTAGGCTTTTACAATTAGACTGGTGCTAGATACAACACGAATTGGAGTTGGATAATTTTTTCCAATTTTTGTTATCCAATCTCAGATTTAAAGATTAAATTGAATTAGAATTAGTTAATTAATTGGCAAAAAGATCAAAAATAATTCATTTAAGATCAATCGCTATGATCACTCTATTGCGTAAGAAGAATTAAACGATTATTACTATCTAGACACTAACCCGCACATATCGATGGCATGCAGGACCTTACTGACAGTTGACAAAATGTTAAGCCAACGGTCTGGCATTGACAAATTCTCCTGATGTAGGAGGACTATCTAAAAGTGGAGGCAGTGTTTCCGGTTCAATATTAAGAGCAAATGGTTGTGATGGCTGTAAGGCTGTAGTTGGATAGCCTTATAAACTGATATACCAATACTAGTATATGTTGTAACCTGGTTTGGTCTGCTTATACGAATGGTTGTATCTTAATTTAAGTGAATAAAATGAATTGAATATTCTATTACTGACAGAAGAAATCATAGCCAGCAGTAGGATACTAATGGTTGTCAATGAATCCTGATGATATTCACGGGAGAGAACATTCTCGTTAGAGAGAAGATCCTAGCACTGAAATAGTATTGTTAATAATCTCGATTTTAATCTGATTACAGTGTCCAAAATATTGTTAAAAGAACTGAACTATCTCTATAACTCAAGCCTAAAAATTCTAGTTCTTATTTGTACTGTAGTGGTCAACATGTCGAAATCCAACATCTACAATTGAGGATCTACTATTTAGTATACAGTACATTAGGGTTATACCCAGATTGCGAAAGAAGTCATGATCAGTCGAAAAAGAAAAGGACCGATCAAAAATACTAGTAATTTCAGATAGGGACGAAACTATAACGCTTGTGAATGTATTCTAGGCACGATTTCCATCTTGTTCGTTATATTGATTAATTTTAGCTTGCATATCACTGAACGACGGGAAAATAGAATTTGAATGACACGTTTTAAAAGTAGTAAACCCTTATAACCTAGAGGCATGCTAGAGTACAAATTTCTCATATTGTATTCATTACTAATTATAACCAATATTGATAGAGCTGCATTGTAGAGGGTAATTTTAATTCATGCCTTTCAATTACTTTAAAATGGAATAATGGAGATGCTGTTGAAATTCATTTTATTCGTAGTAGATTATGTTCTGTCTGAATGGGCTACCATGATACTTGTCGTTTTGGAGAATAGATTGACTAATGACCAATAATAAATCGATTTTAGTAGCTGTTACTAGCATATTAACCTGAGGCTATTCCATTCAGCTTAGCAATTGATCCTGATCTAATATATATATTTAAATACATGGGCTTGTATGTAGAGTGGAAATGTGGAATAAAGAAATAATCCTTTGGTCCTATGATAAATAATAATGTTAAAATGAATTTCATGTCCATTGAAACTGGCTATTCCTGTTGATGGACGCAAAATCTTAAATAAGAGGAATAATGATTTAGGCCTAGAGCAAATTATGTTGAAAAAATTCTGTCCATGTGAATTAAGATTGACTATTACTGATGATAAACTCATTCCGTATGCTTTATTTACGGTATTCCTTGAACATGAATAACAGGAAAGATGATCTAGGCCTAATTGTGAACTATTAGAGGTAAAGGGAGTACGGTAGTTCACGGTCTAGGGTGTATAATACTAAGAATTAATTCCATGGGATTTCAAATTGCTTATTCCTATTTATAAACTAATATGCGTATTAGTTATATCTTTAATGTGAAGAATAGGAATGATAATGTAGACCTAGGTCGCATGTATAGCATAGTTGATCATTCAGTGGATCTCTTTTTATAATTGGCAGCAAGAAGAATACTTTTAGTAGCCGTAGGAAAGGATATCCACCTGTTCAGTAATTATCAATTGATATTCATAATCTTCTATCAAAGATTGCATAAATATAAATTGTTTATCAACATTAACCGTTGCTAATTTTCATCAATGTATGTACAGCTTCATCTTGAGTAGAAGTTAGAAACCGGTTGCTAATCGTCATTTGGGTTGGGCTTTATTTGATTTACGTTGAATGGCGCATAATATAGGGAATTACGCCTATTGATAAACTGAATAAATTACAGTAGAATAATTATCACTTTATCATAACAATACTAACAAGAACATTTTGCATGCCAAGTTTACAAATATTTCACTTCCAAAATTGCGATTTAGTTGTTGATTCGATTGCTATACTAATAGATAATTTCTATCTTTGAGAATGAGACGATGATCGTAACAGCAAAATAGAGAACCACTATAAATATGGTACTAATTGAATAGGCTTTTTAAGATGTTCAACATGATCGCAATGCCGTTATCATGCTTATAAAGTCACCAATTTCTGAAAGTTACTGTAACAAGACTTAATTATATGTCGTTACTAACAGTGGATCTAACGCTGTTATAGGTTATGCGATGATATGCTAGCTATGATTCGTGATCGTATGGAATTGGAGCGTGCATATGCACGAAGTTTAAAGCGTTGGGCATCTGACTGGCGCTCTAGTATCCAAAATGGCCCTGAATATGGTACTATGGAAGAATCATGGAAGGCCTGCTTTACTGAAGCTGATGAGGTAGCTAATTTACACGCTGACGTTAGAGAGAAATTATTAAGTAAAGCTTATGACTCTGTCAAAAAATGGAAAAAAGACCATTATCATAAGTCAATGATGCACTACAAAGAAACTAGAGACTGTGATGATAATTTTAGCCGTATCCAAAAGCCTTGGGCTAAACGTTTTGAGAAAGTGGTTAAAGCTAAGAAAGAGTATTATTCAGCCGCAAAGGCTGAGGATAACAATAATAAACAACTAAATACTGCTGAAAGCGATAACAATATGGCTGCTGATCAAGTTAAGAAAATTCGTGACAAAGCTGATAAGGCCAGTAAAGAAGCTAGTCGAGCAAAAGACAGATATAAAGAAAGATTAGAGGACTTAACAACTTTTAATGACAGTTATCAAAAGAGCATGACCGAAGAATTCGATAGATGGCAAGCGTTTGAAGAAGATCGGTTAATCTTTTTTAAAGAAATGTTGGTAGTAATTCACAATTGTGTTAATATTGCTGATAATCCTAAGTAAGTACTTCGAATCGAATAAATTACAATATCGTAAACATGGATATAACGTCATTGCCAATATGTTCTTAACGCCTATATTTCTATATTGCGTGATCAAAAATAACTAGTATAGCTTATGGTTTATATGCTTTATCGATGCTTAACCTATGCTTTGCAAATGTTTGACTTGATATTTTCTATCTATCAATCATTCTAGCTTTTCCAAGATATATAATGAAATGCTACAAACTATTGAAAAGGCTGATTCAGGGCGCGACTTATGTGGTTTTGCTGAACAATTTGGAGCGAGAATGGAAACGAGGTGGCCAGAATTTGAGGTATATGAATTATTTGTTTAATAAAGTATATATCAAATTCTCACAACAAAAAAAGCTTCAAAATACCAAATAATTTATTCATTACAGTAATTAAATCGATAGCATCAATAATAGAATGTTGTACGATTGAAAAGCTATTGAAAAGATCGAATAATTTGTTCGTTAATTGAATAGTATAACATGCTTTTTATAATATATACATATATTTATATATATATACTTTGTAACGGTTAGGAATATACGGTCACAGAAAAAGCTGCGGTGAAGAAAAGTTCGAGTAAATTTAAAAAAATTCAAGATAGCAGCGAAAATGTCAGTGCTCCAGAAAATACTGCAAAAGTTGAAAAGATTAATCCAAGTAACGAAGATCACGATACAAATGATGGGTAAGCTATAATGGATGAAACTGTAACTATTTATTTATTTGTAATTGAACTATTGCATTTCTAGTGTAGATATATTTAAGAGAAGAGGACATAATTTTTCACACCTATTCACAAAGGTGCAAGTCTTCATTAGACTAATTACCTGTTCTTGATTCTTATAGATACAATCGACAGATTTCCTTTGACAACGAATGGGATGAACCTCCATCTTTTAATGATGGCGAAGGCGTTCCTGTCCGAGCTCTTTATGAATACACTCGTAGAGAATCAGACGAATTAAGTTTTGCTGCTGGTGATATAATTATGAAACTGAGCGAAGAGGATGGACAAGGATGGATTAAGGGTAGTTTAAATGGTACAGTGGGTTTAGTCCCCGCCAACTATGTTGAAGCAGTCTGATGATGGTGGTAGCATACCAACTTACCAATCTTAATAAAGTCGATCAACCGAAGGGATCGCATCCGTCAAAAATTTCGGATCAATAATGTAGGGGATTTCTAACTTGTAGATGAAGACACTTATCCTCGTTAATATTTGTTAAAAGATGTGCACTTTGCATGGCTTTGACAAAGTAAAGCCTAAAAGCTTTAAGATGTAATCGTAAAGAATAAATTTTTGTGATGTGTAGTAGCAAATTTCAAAAACTTGTAGATGCAGATTACAATTTCCATTTTTATGGTAACATCTCTGCGGATACTTCCTTATTTAAAGTTGTGTTAGACGAAATAAAAATGATCTTGTGATTTGTGAAATTGAACAGAATCAATTGGATCAACATTTGACAATATTCACTTGATGTAGATGTATTGTAAGTATACTAGTACAACCTTGATAAATAGTAATAATGACTTCATTATGCTTTCATACTATGCCATATTTTGCCATGCTAAATTAGGTGAAACAACTAGAATTATAAAAAGGGCGCATTCTTATGCTAAGATAGAGGACGATTAAAGCTAGGATGATGAAGTAAAAATTGTAATAATACTTATGGCATAAATAGATTCGGCATTATGTTATTTGAAGCTGTACACCAACGATTAAAATACGTGTTTTAACGCTAGCTTCTACAATATTCATCTTGGACTATTTCTCAATGAACAACGCTAAACGTCTGGTATACATTCTATTTTATTATATACTACCTACCTAATGTCGCTCTTCTACTCTGATAGTACTATCTGAAAGATGCGGCTATTAGCTATATCGAATCATGCAACATTTGATGGCTAGTATACAAGTTACATGAATTTCTTATAGATAATTACGGATCAATATATTGTATCACTTTGTATAATCTAACCAAAAAATATATTACATCCACTCTCACCATGGTAGTAATCCTGATGATGTAGGAATAACTTAAGTTTTACTAATTTTTATTACTAGCATTTACGTTATTAATTGGCTATAGACATGTGTTTTCTTTCTATGCATATGTAATAAAATGGAACTTGTTATCTATATTAACTGGTTCACTGTCATCTACGGTAATTCAATCTGAATCGAGCTGGGAACACTGTCCTATACTGTCTAAATGGTTCTCAACAATGATTTAATTTATTGGCAATAGTTATGATGAAAATAGAACTTAGAGAATATCGAATATCATAAAGTAGTGCTTAATTTTATTTCTAGTCACCTACGTATTCATTAAGTCGATAAATCAGTTGGCAATATTGCAACTGATCTAAATAAATTGGTAATAAACTTAATTACCACTGTTTGTCTGCAGCAATAAATACAGTAGACAGTATTAGATTTGATAAAATATTAAAACTGAGATTACCTTTTTCCTTATTTAATCACTCTATCATACAGTAGTCAAGTTGATGTGAGCTAACTTCTACACTTTTGTTTGCATAAATAAGTGCTACAGTATGCAGTGAAATTTCTATAAGCTGCATGATGGATCAATCCCTTATGCAACTAATGCTACTGAAATTAGTCAAAGGATAACACGCTGTAGAAAAAATTCAACTCAGTAGTTGACTATCTGTTGCAAATTGAGACTTGCACCAAGAAAGGCTTGAATTGACTCTAGTTTCACATTAAATTACCCCTAATTCTTGGATATTTTAGTCAGCACTTTATTAGTTCACCAACATAGCTTTTATATTCGTTTAAGGATTACAGGTTTAAACTAGTCGTCCAATCGGGAGGTGACAGCTCATGCAAAATGTTACAAACAGAACCTTAGTTAACGGCAGACTATCTCTTTTAATTATTCAATATGTATTAAGATCTCCTGAGAAATTAAAGATCAGAAATTACTATAAACTTATAAATTATATTGCAGCAAATCGGTAATTTATATAGACAAACATTTTCTGTCATTACATTTCGTCAGCAGACGACCCAAATACTCCCATAATAAAGATATGTATAACGGTAACGCCTTAACCAATGCGTCTACAGAAACTGTCACCGTACATATTCCTAGCAAACATGGCTTTCAAAGGATAAACTTAGAGTCATGGAAATTTGATAAATATTAGGCCTATTTCATAAGCAGATTAAATCAAACAATTATCCTAAAATTTTCCTGAAGAAATTTACTACTGTGCTTTTAGATGTTAATAATATTTAATCCTCGTATAAGTATTTCGTCAAAATGTAGATCTATATTAGCCGATTCTTTTGTACCCCTAAACTGGTTAATAAACACTATCTAATCGTTGAATTTCTTAAATAAATTTTTGGTTATGTTGCTCAAGACAACCGAGCATGAGGGTTTGCTAAGTGTATTAGTACATATGCAGTACAGCAAAATAAGGCACATAAAATCGAACATATGATGTCATTTTTCAGTATTTATCAGTATCCTGGTACTTATAATGTTTCCAGGTAGCATAATCTAATCTTAATTCTGATAAAAAAATTAATTTTTTAAACGTAATTGCACGAAAGTATTAGGTTATGATTAGATCGTGAGTGTTAATATCATTAACGTGCAGAATAACGTTTTGCCTCATCGTTTGAACTTTAAAAATTAGCCTTTCTAATCAAAAATTCTATTAAAATGATTTAAAACTTGCTCAGCAAGACACACTCAATTAATGAACGGGTTAAGCTAACAAACAGAGTGTTACGGTGTTGCCTTGTCATCAGGATAGTTTAATAAGTACTGTAGTATCTAGTACGGAGAATATCCATATTTGTAGTGCTAGGTAAGATAAGTAATGCCTTAACGCGGATGTTGTTTGTAATAGTTCATTACATACTTGATATTGATTGTTATTGTGTGACAGATAGCAGTAAGATGATTCAGGTTCTAGTTGATGATAGTTGAATTAGATAACCTACAAGCTTAGATTAAGATTAAGTACGAGTAAGAGATTTAAAATATTTACTGATAGAAAAGCTATGTAAGGAACATCTCAGTTCGAGATGTTTCTCCTAGTAAGGTATAACAACAATACAGTCGTTGTTTACAAATTAGACGGTTCCTATATAAACGGGAACATTTGAGTTCAGTGGTGGTAAAAATTTGTAGATGTATCTTTGCTAATAAAAGTTTCTTCTTTACAGTCTTTTTCTGTGTGTGTTTAACGTTCAGTATAAGGGCCTTTAAGTCAGTAGCTACTTATAGACTTTTACTGTACGTTACCTTGTCGCAGAAGTGAAATTGTGACACAGAGATAGCTGGAATGCGGAAATACTCGATAAGTTTCTTATAGTTCTTACAGGCTTTATGATAAATACCATCCTATGATTGTTAATTTATAACATTGAAAGCAAAAGCAATATATAATGCATTAACCTTTGTAATAGCAGCTCTATGACGAAAGGAAAGAGTTCGGAATCATTATCAGATAACGGATCGCAAGATTTAGTGCTTACACTCTAGTTGTAAAGAAAAGATACACGATAACAAATAATTCGTAATAACATTAGTAATTATTTTCTATAAATTATAAAGTATTATTGCGCTATATCTCACTGTGGAAAAGGAAGAGAATATCATGCTTCTGATTGGTGTACAAGTAAGTAATTTAACTTAAATAAGTGGAGTAGTAAGATAATTTTAATGCAAGGTCTTATTTCTAACATGTAGCAACGCAATATTAATGTAAGAGAACTTCGACGTAATGAAACAATAATTCGATATTTTGTTTTTCCATAATTTTGAAATCATGAAAATTATCTTTTATTATTACTGTATTTTTATTAAATGTTATGATAGATTTTATTTTGAGTAGGAGAGAAGGGAAAAGCTTATTTATTTTTGCTAAGTAGATGTTAACTTGAAGTAGAATAGCATCATGCAGACCATTAATTCTATTTATGTCATTTAAGTGATGATTGACAAGTTAACCAATATTAAAAGTGTTATTCTTAATCATTAATTAGACACCCATTCCGTACAAGTTTTCATAATTAATTAATTAAGTAGACACGCATGAAATACCGTACAAAGTGCTCAATTAATGGAATTGAAATAAACTTTACTACTTGGAAATCTTTCCTAGAATACAATATTAATTTTTAAGATCCACAGTCAAATAGTAGGCATCTTCAAGTAATACCAGCGGTTATTTATTCAGATTTCTATTTTAAAAACAGCTGATTGCAAAGGCCTATGAATACAACATTGTGCTAAATATTTAATATGATGTACAAATTTCTGTTACTAAAATTCGAAGTCGGAAGCGATAGGTGAGGATAAGTTCATCATTCGCAATTTGCGATTTACTGTACTCCTCCATTAAGACATTGCACTATAGCACTAGCCATGAATCATTAATCTCGAATAGATAATATTTTTCCGCAATTGCATCGCGTATACAATTAAATAGTATGTTATATATGATAAAAATTTCATGAAATGAAGAACGAAAAATTTATTATAGAACGTTTATTCAAAATTTTATTCTGTTGGTTAATCGTTCGCTTATGACATGCATCTTAGATGTAGAAATGGTGATGGTTAAACTTAAAAAGGCTATTAATTAAATTATGTTCATTTATCTACTCCATGAGTGTGACGTAAGAGTAAACACAGGACATTCTCGCATGTTTGTCTTAGTAAGATGATTTTTTCAAAATTTCATTTTCTAGTTAATTATTAATTTATGATATACAAGTTAGATGTAGAAAAGATGATTGTCAAGCTTAAAGTGGCTATTAATTAAATTATATTCTTTCATCTACTCATTGAGGATGACATACAAGTAAATGTAGGATACACTCATATGTTTGTCTTAAATAATAAGTATGATAATAACAAATAACTAGTTAAGGTTTTTAATTATGTTTGCATAGATACTCTAAGAAACTATTACATGTAAACATATGTAGATTGCATTCATTTAGTATATATCAACTAATCGTAGATTTCATAATAGTAATACACATATGAAAATGCCATTTCATTCTATCAAATTAACTTGTAAAGT